ATAATATTATAGGAACCATTCCCATAATATATTGAAGCTATTCCATTGTTGTATAGGAACGTTTCCAATAAATTATGGGTATGGTTCCCATAATGAGTATAGGATTAATCCCTATAGTGATAATTTTATTATAGGATCCATTCCCATAATTGTTGGAAAGATTCCTATAAATTTCTCTCCGTGTAGAAATTTCGGAGTAACTCCGAAAAAACACTTTTCGGTAAAGCCGTTTGAAAGTTATTCCAAAAAAACCACTTCTGCAAAAAATCACTTGAGATATGATAAGATTTTTTTTCCTGCGTTATATGTATGTCTGTGACGCAAGTAAAAAAATATTGAATAAATTTTTTTTTTTAAATCGAATAAAATTTATGATGAAATCAAAGTAATTTACACAACATTATTCCCAGATATATCAGTTATAATAGTAGGTATACATCAGCAAATTAATCCTAATATTTTTAGATCTAAATATCTAATAATAATTCAAATTTGAATAAATAATATTGATCGCATAAAAAAAATCAGAAAAACGGTTGACCCTGTGAACATTCTGCTAAAAACGTTTAAAATCTTTCTTTTGAAAAATTTTGGGTCTCTTTGAACTTTAAAATTTTGGATTGTACCATCTTTCAAAAAGTTTCGAATGGAAATTTCGGAATCAAAAAAGTTCCGAAGAAAGCTCTTCTTTCGAATTTTTTGAAAAAGTATTTTAGTTAGATAAAGGTTTTACAATTTTTCAATTTTTACCATCAAATGAGCATTTAGTCGTTCACTTTGCACAGTAAAAAATTTTTCGTCATTGTGTAAAGTGTAAAAATGTTCTTGTAGAATTTAACATTTTAGTGTGTAGAATTTAACATTTTAGTATGTTGATTCAAAACACAACAGAGTGTTGATTCTATACACAGATTGTGTGAAAAAAGTCATCAATACAAATTTTTGTTTTAAATTTGACGAAAAATTTTTTACTGTGTGGGTTTTTTACGAATTATTTTTTGTTTTTGTGACGATGATTATAAAATTCGTGTATACTTGAATTTTTCTAACTGTTTTAATACTTATTTAAAAAAAATAATATTTTTATGAGATTATTCCAATATTAACGGACAAATAATTTTAAATTCTTAAAAAGAAAATTTGATTTTTCTCCAATAGTTGATTGAAGAATGGAAATGTAATTAATTAGTTTCTTTTAATTTTAATTTTTATATGATATGCAACTCTTGACCTGTCAAAAGTAGTGCAGAAGTTATTGGGTCATAGTAATCGACGAAATCGCCTGACTTATACTTTTGACCCCGTATAATTTCAACAAGACGATCAGCTACTTGATTAGGCGTTAATATTAACCCTGCGAATCGAAACATCAGTGAAAGAATAGGCAGTTCTGCAGTTCTTTTTATTCCTTCTAGCTCTTTCAACAAATCAGTTTGAGTGAAAAACGGAGAATAATTCAAAACGTTGACTTGTGGAAACTCTTTAGCAAAAACCTGAGAACCAAATCACATTTATAAGTAATCACATTTTTCAATGTTACAATTAGTAAACTGATGGAAAATAATTAAAAAAATAAACCTAATTATTACCTTAAAATACATTTCACGTGCAGCTTTTGCAGAACAATAATATGCACCTGATTTTGCAGGATATCTACTGGCAAGAGAAGTCATATTAATAACTAACTTTTTAGCTTTAACTTTGTCATTGAATATTTCCATGAATACTGAGTTTAAAACAGCTGATGAAAATACATTCAAATCAAACATTTTTTCCCAAACACGAAAATCATTCATTTCATTGGTCAACTGACTTAAATCACCAGTTGTTCCAACATTATGGATAATAATAGCACTATCATATTCCTCCGGATTGATACGTTTTCGAATTATATCTGAAAAAGATAAATATTTTTTACATAAAAAATTAGGAAAACGGTTGACCCTATAAAGACCATCCCTGCAACTTCCCGCTAACTCCATACCTAAACGCTCAACATTTCACTTATTTTGTTTTCGAGCTCAAAAGTACAATTTCTGTGTTATTTTGAGTTCTCCGAGCTCAAAGAGATAGCTTCTTTATGCTTTTGAGCTCGAAGAGCTCAAAAGTTTGATAAAACACTATTTTTTGAATTTTCAAACCGCAATAAACGGGTTTTTCAAACTTAAGAGCGGAATAGTCTTTGGAATTGATCGGTGCAACCGTTTAGAAGTTATTCCAAAGAAACGATTTTTTGAAAATTTTATTTTTGAGATTTCTCAAAATCTAGCGAACCGAATTGATTCAAATTTTCACGAAATTTAATAGCAATGATACTCTTTGGATCGCCGTTTATTTCGATCCGATCGGTCAAACCGTTCAAAAGTTATAAAAAGTTTACATACATACATACACACACACACACACACACACACACACACACACACACACACACACACACACACACACACATACAGCCGCACGGACACCATCGCGGGAATAGTCAGGGAAGCTTCCTGTCACCTTAAAATGTCGAGATCTGATGAAAACTCAATTTTCGCAAAACGGGATGAAACCAATAACTTCCCGAATTTTGAAAATCTTCGATTTTCTTAGCGGGAAGTTAAAAAAGACCATTCGTAAGTCGAAATGGAAGTAGATTTCATAATGAATAAAAAAAATTATAAAAACAGTTAACCCTAAAGGCCATCCCTGCAACTTCCCGCTAATTTCGTACCTAAGCGCTTAAAATTGCACTTATGACGTTTTTGAGCTCTCCGAGCTCAAAGAGTTAGCTGTTCTATACTTTTGAGCTTTTCCAGCTTAAAAGTCTAATATAAGTTTAATAAAATACCATTCTTTAAATTTTTGAAACTGCAATTAATTTTGAACGAAAAAACTGATCCTCACGAGATTGGTAGCATTTGACGCACTTTTTGAAATCCTATGATTTACTTTTAAACACAAATTAATCAGACTGAAAATTTTAGAGAAATTTGAAAAAATTCACTTTTTCCGAATTTTTTCGCTAACTATAAGCCTAAAAAACTTAAAATTCGGTAGGAATATTACTTTTGACATGTAGGGGTCAGCTAAGAATGGATTTTACGAAATTTACCTCCAAAGGGGGTTGCGGGGGCGTTAACAATGAAAATTTTCCGTTTTTAAATTACAGTTCCTATAGGCTCCAAAATTGGTAGGAATCTTTTATATATGATGCAGAAATAATCCAAGAGCGGATTTTACGATAAACCACTCCCAATAAGGATTGTGGGTGTGGGTGTTAGAATGTTAAATTTCAATTTCCAAATTGAATTGATTTTTGCTGATCACATAAGCGATTAATTGTTCTTAATGCGAGATCGCGGGAATGTAATAGATTAAAATGAATGCATTTTTCAAATACTTGATATGTGAAAAATAAATTCGGCTCATCTTTAAATAGAATTCGTAAAAGACGTGTAAAGTAAATTTTCGATAAAAAATTGATGTCACTGAGAAAATTTTAATAAATGGAAAAATTCATCGCACTTGATGTTCGGCAGCTTTTATCACTGAAATCCGCTTTTAGCTGACTTCTGCATGGCAAAAGTACTATTTCTACCAAATTTCAAGTTTTTAAGGCCTATGGTTTCCGAGATTTCGTGATAAGTGACTATATAGATGAAAATCTGCTTTAATCGGTGCCTGTAGGCGAGTGTATGGAGGGGTGTAGGTGGAGGTGCAAAAGGTGTTAGTAGGTCTTTAGCTGAATGTAAGGAAAAGATTTAATATAATTCCTTTACGTCAATTTCGATAGAAAATAAACAAAGGAATTGAAAGAAAATGGCTGTCTTTTGTTTTTATTAATAGGAAAATGTTTATAAATATAAATCGTAAAAAAAAAAAACAAGAAAGGGTTGATAAAATCCAAAAAATAAGCAGCCTATAACCATCTACGAAAAATTCTGCGTCGAATGGTAGCTGTCCTATCCCGATCAATTCAGTAGTTTTGGCATGAAGTGGAGTCAAAGGAACCCTATTTTGCTTATATATATATATATATATATATATACACGTGTAAATTTTTGAACTATATGTATTTTTTGAATCCGCTTGACGAGCTGAATCAAAATATAGCAAAATTTTTAAAGAGTTTCATCATGAGGATCGATGCGATAGTTAGATTTTTATGAAATCTACTAAAAATATCAGAAAGTAGTTAATAAAATCGGACATCAATGTTATTCGTACAATATTAAAGTACTAAAATTACCTTTCAACTGATCAGCTTGTGCTATAGATAAATCCAAACTAACGTAATCAACATTGACACGATGGCTCATTTTACTAACTGTTTCTTGCAATCCAGTTTCATTACGCGCTATCAATAAAAAGTGTGAATCGCATTCTGCTATTTGAGAAAATGTAATAGCGAATTGACGGCCAATTCCCTTACTCGCGCCAGTTATTAAAATAAATAATTTTCCGACCAAAAAAAACTCCGGACCCATTTTAACTAAATTGATAAGCTTTGTAAGGCGTTAATACATTTATTAATAAGTATAATTTTTTTCAAGTAAATGCAATACTTTCGTTGAGATATTTTTATGAGATATTTATAAAACCATTGACTTTTGCCTGCTTTACATACATCATTGTGACGCATGTAAAAATAACATTTTTGTTCAAATAGAAGTCTTTTCATAATTGAGTTATCTTCCAAAACATTATTTAAACATGATTAAATTATAAAAGTAAGTAACTGTTAATAAATGTATAATAAGGTTGATAATTTTATCAAATATATAGATTAAAAGTCTTATCAAAATGTGCAATCATAAGTCTGTAACTCAATTATAGCAATAATTTAAATAACATCCAAATTATTATTCATTCATCAATTTGCAAAACTATTTGGTAGCATATTTTAAATTTTCTCTCTAATCCGACTTTCACTTGACGTTAAAACTTACGTCTAAGTTCTAATAGTGAAGTTGTAGTCAAGGTTTCTTCATCTTTAACTACAAGTTGTGATGTAATCTTACATATTTCTATTCCAACAATAAATTTTTAACAATTTGTATTCAATTATAATTGAATAATAATTATTATTCAGTAAAGACTTGTCAAAATTTGACGTTCAGTTGATTGCGGCTATTGAAGATGACTTTTTGTAGTTACTCGCTGGCTATCTGCGTACATCGTTGATCAGCATTCAGTTTGTATAGAGTCCTAGCGTCAGCTCTTTTAGCGTCTACCGACCATTTACCGACACATCTAGATTGATGTCAAAATGAGATCAAATTGAAATATAAAATGATATTCTGTATTATCAATATATGGTAAAATAAAATTTACATTAAATTAATATTGATGCCTTTTTATAAACAGCGATTTATTGTAAGAACCTAGATTCTTTAATTGTTGCTACCAAATCGATATCCATATTTCTACAATAGTAAGTCTTAGAGATAAAGAAATAATTCGGAATCACTTTAACTCAATGGGGTATTCTGGTCTAGAAGCATGAATTTCAGGTAATTTTTTGAAGGGCCGTAAAAAAAAAGGCAATCGATATTTTCACTATGCATTTTTTTATAAATTATTTATTAACATTATAAGAATACAGAAAAACGTAATAAAATAAAAAAATCTGGAAAACGGTTAACCCTAAAGGCCATCCCTGCAACTTCCCGCCAATTCCATACCTAAACGCTTGAAATTGCACTTATGACGTTTCTGAGCTCTTCGAGCTCAAAAATCCTATTTGTGTGTTATTTTGAGCTCTCCGAGCTCAAAGAAATAGCTTTTCTATGCTTTTGAGCTCTTCGAGCTCAAAAGTCTGCTAGAAGTTTAATAAAACAGTATTTTTTTGAATTTTTAAACTGCAATAATTTCTAAATGAATGAATCGATTTTCATGCGGTTGGCAGAATTCCACGCAGTTTTTTAGAATCTATGATATACTTTTGAACACAAACTGATCGAACTGAAAATCTTAGAGAAATTTGAAAAATTAATTTTTTTCGAATTTTTTCGACAATGATAACTCACGAACCAATCAAACAATTTCCATATTCTTGGTGGCGATCGACGTGATTTTTTGAGCTCTAATATTTATTTTATTTCGTCAAAAACGATCTGAAAAGAAATCTTGAAGTTATGTGAAAAAAACACTTTTCTCTAAATTTTTCGTTTTCGATAACGCTCGAACGAATCACCCGATTTTGATGAGACTGGTGGCAATCGACGTGGTTTTTCAAGCTCAAGAGCTGATTAATTTTTGAAATTAATCGGTGAAGCCGTTTAGAAGTTATTCCAAAAAAACGATTTTTTGAAAATTTTATTTTTGAGATTTCTCAAAATCTAGAGAACCGAATCGATTCAAATTTTCACGAAATTTAATGGCAAAGATACTCTTTGGATCGCCACCTATTTCGATCCGATCGGCCGAGCCGTTCAAAAGTTATAAGAGGTTTACATACACACACACACACACACACACACACACACACACACACACACACACACACACACACACACACACACACACACACACGACGACGCGTCGATTTACTGCGCATGCAGTACTACACACACACACACACACACACACACACACACACACACACACACACACACACACACACACACACACACACACACAGCCGCACGGACACCATCGCGGGAGTAGTCAGGAAAGCTTCCTAGGACCTCAAAACGTCGAGATCTGATGAAAACTCGATTTTCGAAAAACGGGGTAAAACCAATAACTTCAAAAATTTTTTTAAATGTGGTTTTTTTGGAATAAATTTCAAACGGCTTTACTGATCAATTTCAAAACAGCTAATCAGCTCTTAACATCAAAAAACCACGTCGATCACCGCAAGCCCGGTCAAAATCGGTTGATTCGTTCGTGAGTTATCGTTGTCGAAAGAAAACCGAAAAAAGTGTTTTTTCGGGATTACTTCGAAATTTCTGGCTCGATCGATTTAAACTTGAACATTATTTATGGGGTTTTAAAAACTGCGTCGAATGCCGTCAACCGCTTGAAAATCGGTTCATTCATTCAAAAGTTACTGCCGTTTGAAAATTAAAAAAATTGTGTTTTAGCAAACTGCTATTAGAGTTTTGAGCTCGAAGAGCTCAAAATGACACAAAAATCATATTTTTGAGCTCAAAGAACGTAATGTGTAATTTTGAGCGCTTAAACACAAAATGAGCGGGAAGTTGCAAGGATGGCCTTCAGGGCCAACCGTCGTCCTAATTTTTTTTTTTTATGAAACAGGAAATACGGTAGTTTCTGCAGCTTACAAGCAAATATTGCGTTCTTACTTTTTCAGTTCGCCTGCCACCAATTTGCTCCTCAGATTGACACCAAATTGCATTCATAGATAAATATCAGTTTTCTACCAAGTGGTTATTGAGGAAGACAACATTTGATAACCCTGATAGCCAGGCTTTCTCAGGAAATAGTTGACTTTCAGTGGTTACGGTTAACTTAACATCAAGTAAATTGGCAAAAATCTACTGCCGTAATTTAAATACAAGTTAACAGTCAAACTTGTAGTAAAATTTCCTTTCAACTTTACTACAACTTGACTGAAATACTTGTACAGCACGTCTTGACGTCAAATTGCAGTGTAATTTATAGGCAACTTGACTGAAATCGCTTGCTTTGCCAACTCTTTCCGTCAAATTGGCTACAAATTTCGGCAGTAGATTGACGGCAAATTTCAGGTAAAGTGGCTATCAGAGAACATGCTAAAAAAGTAGATTTCTTATCTGGACATGTCCTTATAAGGGTACTATATCAGCCGTCGGTAGTGTAGAAATTATTTTAAGACCAACACACCAAACCCTGATAACCACAGTTTCAGACCAAACAAGTTGGTGTCAGATAGTTGCCACCAACTTACCGACAACTTGCGGTCAACTTCTGAATTTGAAACTGTTGGCGTCAAGTTTGCTACAAGTTTCTGAGAAAAACAAGACCAATCTACTGCCACAATATGTCGCCAAATTTCTCGAGAAACTTGTCGTTAACTTGGTGCTAAAGAGTTTCGAAAACAATTGTTGCCGACAACTTGGTGAACAACCGAGTTCATTTCCAAGACTTGCCGCCAACTTGGTGACAAGTTGCGGCAGCAAATCGACGGAAAGTTGCGACCGGTTTGGCTATCAGGGAAGATTTATCTAGCTAGTGAGCATACTCAGTTAGTCATACGTATCAGAAATATGACGGAAAGCTACGGCTGAAATAAGTCATCAAGTTGACGGCAACAATACAGCAACAGTTGTACTTATGAATCAAGCAATATCAATTTAGCATCTACTTGAGCGCAACTTTTCATGTAAACTATTCTTCTATTTCTGGCAGTAGTTTGACGTCAACTCACCGAGTAAGTTGAAGTCTTATTGTTGCAAATTCTAAATTTGAAGTGAAGTTTACATAAACTTGACGAAAATTATTAATTAACAATTAGTTGATTGTCAACTTGTGCTAACTGGATAATTACCCTAAATAACGAAATTACAAATGCAAAAGATGCTGATCTAATGTTGATATCAATTATACATCAGGAAGAAATTAAAAACAAAAGTTTGTGTAGACTTAATATGAAACTTACTCTGATAATGAACTGTATGATCTTACAGGAAAAAAGAATGAACACCCTGAGACAAACATTACTATTAATAAAATTTCCATAAGATAAAAATGTATGTTTTTAATGATATTGTGAATATATTTTGTTTACTGAAGCATCGCTCTAATATATAAAAAAAGTTTGGAAAATCCAAAAGTGCACGCCTCATAACGCTCATTCATTTTTTAAGAAAAAAATTAATTGTGTAATTGATTATAAAATAAATTATAATTAAGTAATTTCTTACAGAGTATTTTTTATTTTTTTTTTAAATATCGGCGCTCTTTTTTCTTGTCATATGCGCAAGCAGTCTAAAAAAATCTAGCTTGATCAAGTGGCGCCATAGTTTTCACGTGACAAATGAGAAAAGTTCGTTTGGCTTTGTACGGTTGTATCGTAGTGAATTTTAATAAAAATTCAATTAAAAAAAAAAAAAATACGTAAACTAGGCCACTGATATTAAATACGGACCCAGTTCATCGAATTCTTAAACTAATAAAAAAGGTCCGGTCTTGAAATATCAATTTGTTCGGGAGTAATCGTTGGTACATCCAAAATAGGGTGACATCCGGACGTCCACGTAAAATTTTTTTCAAAACGTTTTTTTTTTCAAAATCGCATTATGAAATGATTTTAGAAAGTAAAAGATGGTTTAATTTAAGTGTTTTTTCGGTATTCATCTATTTATATCATTGTATAAGTGTAATATGGTTGCGTTAGAGGTATTTAAAGATCACAAAATTGCTTGACCTTGACGAGTCGAGTATAAAGCACAACCTCACGCGCTTCGCGCTCTGAGGCGTGCAATAGTTTATACTTAACTCAAACACAGCTATTCTTCTGTTCACTTATTGTAAGGAAGCC